CTACGGGCTAGGGATACCTGCACCGCCCGTATATATGACCATCGCCTAGCTATCAGCCCAGCAGCCGTCAAGGAGGAGACCCACAAGGGCTGACACGATCGACCAACGTGGAGATCAAGGCAAACCAAGGCAGGCGTATCTGGACGATAGCTAGGATCAATCTGTTGTAACAAACTAGAAACAATCTATTAGCCCGATCACCCACTCTGTAACCCTATTTCACCTACCTATATAAAGGAGGGTAGGGACCTTAGGCTCGGGATCGATCCAATCTTCCACCAATTCCAAAAACCTCGTAGCTAGGAGCAATAGCCCCTGTAATTGAGCATACGAATACAAGAGCAGCCGCACCACTGGAGTAGGGATTAGCGTGTACCACGCCCCGAACCAGTATAAATCTCTGTGTCTCGTGTCCTACCATCTGATTCCGTCTACGCGATCATATTGCTGGATATTGCTGGAGCAAACAATCCGACAATATGTTTCACACATGTATTGCAAGTGTTTTTTATGTTGTGTAAGTGTTTTTGCAAGTGTTTTAGATGCATATTTAAAGTGTTCATTTGTCTTTTTATATGTTGCAAGTGTTGCATCTGGATATTTCAAAAGTAGATCGGGTGCTTCATATGGTATGAAGCGGAACAGAGCGCGAGCAGTCCTCGTGAACGCGCAGCGCAGGTGATTTTCCGGCGGCGCCAGCCCCCGGTGGGTGCGCAAGACGCAGGTGCGGGTGAGCGACGTCTGGACGGCGTGGGCCCACGCGTGGACACGCGAACAGACTGCTGCCATGGGCGTCCGACATTCTGGCGCTAGCAGTTGTGATAAATGTTTAACATTACTTTATACGTATTTTATTTATTCCTGACATCAAAGCTGTTATCATGATCTGCATTGAAAAGAGGGGAGTAGAAAGTTTTCTAGTGCAGGGTTTCAATTTTGGAAGTCAGCCTGCATATTTTTATTTTATAACCAGTACCGAACATTGAAAGCTACTTATTTAAATAAAAGAAAATGGTGCTCGCAGTTATTGTACATGTTCTGCGTTTGTTTTCAAAAAGGTCGCAATCAAACGAAAAAAAACATCTTGGGTGTTTCCATGTGACTGCATCCCCAAAGATCGATGATTTGGGCCTTCCATTCCTTCACATTATAAAAGTAATTACTACCAGAAAAGTAAATCATGACTAGATCCATAGAAGTCTCTCTTGTAAGCAATATTCACTTGAAATAAATTACTTTTTATATGAAAAAAATCATGAAAGAGACCTGTTGATTTTATTAAAAGGAAAAAGTACAGCAACACAATGATGATTATATTAAACAGCTACATGTATGCAGAACATGATTCCTCTTCACTTCATTTAAATGTATTGTAATCCACTTGACTTCGCTGAGATCTTGTGCATCAAATTCTCATCGCGTTTATAGATTTACCAACCTGTCATGATCAAGCATGATAGGAACAGTTCAGGAACTAACAATATAATTTTAAACATGTTAAGTTGTCGTGACTAATGAACCATTGCATAGTTGAGAATTAAAGGCTGACCATGTTGCGGGCGTCGATGGATTACTGTCGTGTCATTGACCTATATAATCTTAGATTTGCCCAATTGTTGGTGTGACGTTCTCTTGCTTATTCAAGAACCAGAGCACTGATTATAGTCCAATGTTAAACACATTGTACCTGTTCATGCACTACTGGACTCGCATGCTTTGCCGAGGGACCAGAAACCCTCGGCAAAGGCTTTGCCGAGGGCTGCCCTCGGCAAAGACCCCTCGGGGAATTTTTAGACGGCGAAGGGGTCTTTGCCGAGGGCCAGGACGGCCCTCGGCAAAGAAAAGAACCCGTCACGCGCCGGCGCCGTTGGCGGTTTCTTTGCCGAGGGCCGACCCTCGGCAAAGAAGTGGTTTTTTTTTGAATTTTTTTTGCCGAGGGCCGGCCCTCGGCAAAGATTTTTTTTTAAATTTTTTGCCGAGGGCCTCCTCCCTGGCCCTCGGCAAAGAAATTTTCAGGATTTTTCCAAAAAAAACTTTGCCGAGGGCTATTGCAAGGGCCCTCGGCAAAGGTTTTTTTTTTAAAAAAAATTGTTTACTGAGGGCTGGCCCTCGGCAAAGAAATAGTTTTTTTGGAATTTTTTTTTTAAAAAACCTTTGCCGAGGGCCTGCTCCCTGGCCCTCGGCAAAGAAATTTTCAGGATTTTTAAAAAAATCTTTGCCGAGGGCTATTGCTAGGGCCCTCGGCAAAGGACCCTTCTTTGCCGAGGGCCTTGGTCATTGCCCTCGGCAAAGAGACAGAAATTTAATTTTTTTTTGTTTTTTGCATTCCATCGACACAAGCATTTCATATATATACATATATATATCACACAGAACCCATTTTCTCACAATATATCACAACCATAATTGTGAACCACAAATCACAATATATTACAATGACAAGTCACATGTTCATCATCATTCACATGTTTATTACGACAAGTTAATGAAATCCAAGCACAAGTCACAACCATAAATCACAAATCACGCTAAAGTCCAACCACATCACCTAGCACGAGTCCTCATCAAGCTAGCCTATGAGACGATGGTGAAGGAAAAGCAGGATCACCCGGTGACGCACTAGCGGGTTGATTGGAACCCGCGGACGGAAGCTGCACAAAGGAGCAGAGATTGCATGTGTGAGTAATCCGGGAAAATAGTTTTGGAACTTAGAGATTGCATTTAGTAATCTAGAAATACAAAAAGATTAGACTCAATTGAAAATTTCGGCAGCACCTCCCCTGCACGGGGAGGTTTCCAAAACCTGCAAGAAACGACGGCACGAACGCCGACATCCACAACGGCACGAACGCCGACATCCACAATGGCACGAAGGCCGACATACATGCAAAGCACAAGCGAAAAGTGAACTTTCATACTTACAAGAGTACCTGCAGGAGTAGGAGGTGGAGGAGCTGAAAACTGCACAGGTACACCCGATGCTTGCCCAAGACTTTGCATGATCACCATCATCTTCGCCATCTGCTTCTGCGCGGCCTCGAACGCGACCTGCTGGGCCTGCAGCTGTGCGGTCAGTTGTTTTCCTTAGGTATGAGAATGAAAACTTTATCACACTCGACCTCTCTTGTATAGAACAGTGGGTGTTATTGACATGATAGTTTCACAATTCTTGTGGCTTTGAGCAATCAGATGGCCTCACCTATTATGTAAATATATATAGGACTATTAGCATAACAGGTATGTATGTAAGACTCAAGTACTGCTTCGGTGCTTCCAGAAGCACCAATAATTTTGGTTGGTCAAGGATCCCGAGATCACTATGGGGCAAATATCGTAAGCCTGTAACGAAGGGAGCACAGATAGCACAACTGAAGGATGACACAGGGAAAGTGCTTCATTTTAAGTGAGCTTAAGCACACTAGGAAAATTTGAGTCATGCAAATACATGCTAGAATTTATTGTAAAATATAAGCATACTTCAAGTTATTACCCCTTCAAGATCACTCCAAGGAGGCTTTCCATCGAACATCTCTATGATGGTGCAGCCGAGACTCCATATATCAACAGCGAGATCATAGCCTACATCTTTCATTAGTGTAGCTTGAACCATCTGAAGAAAGAAAATTTTTATCAATAACAGTACAAATAAATTTCTAGTCACAAGCATGTTACTAACTTTGATATAAAAATAAACACATGAAGCAGCAAAATACAGTAATAGGCTCATTTGACAAGCCAAATTGGCTTTCTACTAAAGGCTAACTAATTCATTAAAAAAAAACTGCCACCCAAGCTGTGAACTAGAGAAATGAGCTACTGTTGTTTTATTTTGTATGTCTCACAATTGCTTGCCTAACTAACTGCCCGTTTGTGAGTTCATATATCAAATAATATTTATTTTGATTACAAATGCATTTCGTACAAAGTTAAGAGAGCTTCATAGCCCATCAACATAATATATGTTCTTATTCCTTTGTTGCACACACTGACTTTAAGCAGCCCATGCAACAGGCTCTGGAGTCTCACTGTACTTTGCAGTTTCAGTAAGTACAGAACTTCTGAGCTCCCAATGTTTTTTTTTCATGATCTTGCCTGAGCATGTTACTCGAGTTCACACTGTAATTGACAACCCATGCTGAAAACAGTGTAAGGTTAGATAAAAATCATAGTATTATCGTGTTATGCAACATTACAATTTTATACAGACCAAAGTTTGTGTGTGTGTGTGGTCGTGGTGGGGGGGGTCACATGTTGTACATAGAAAATTAAATTGATACTTAGTTGCATGAAAAGTTGGTAGTAATACAAGGAATATCTTAAGATACCTCTGGGGCCATCCAGTATGGTGTTCCCTTCAGGAATATCGGCAAAGCACGCGTTTCCAGTAGTGATGCATTTTGGAACCGTTCAAATAGAAGGAAAACTTAGTGTTCAATTAAATAATCTGATTACTGAATAATAAGATCAATGTCTTGCATCTCGGACCTCGGACAACTTGAAACGAACAGATATTTCTGCATTCCTTATCGACGCAATGTTCCTTCTTAGCTGAATTAATTAGAACAAACTCTGCAACTTGGACGACAACAAGGAAGTTTGAAGGAAAGAAGTCCATTGAATAAGACGCACGATGTAGCCACAATCTGATTATATATGACGCAGATTTCATTCTGCAAATCTCTTCAGAATAGTCAAATGTCACCGTACCAACATGGGTCATCTGAATGTTTCCTTCGGCATACGTGGAGAGCACATAGTTTGGGGATTACAGAGGGATTCAGTGCTATTGTTAACTGCAAGTGCCAAAACAAAATCTTAGTTTGAAATGAGCCAAGGATTGATGAATCAATTGTTGGTTGCTTCACGCATTCATTCAGAGAGAAGTTCTCCACCACTGCAAGCATCTGCACCCAGTCTCTAGTTTTCTACACAGCTTGGTTTGTGGCTTTGTGCATTGGTCTGGTACTCTTGTTGTCCCTCATTGCCTTCTCTTCTCATCGATGGCCGAGGAGGTGTACAAGGCGCTGAGCCTCCTCTTCCGCGTCGCCGCGCTCGGTCTGTCGGTGGCGGCCGCCGTCGTGATGGGCACCGCGAGCCAGCTAGTCATCGTCGACGGCAGCCCCGAATCCTCGAGCTACTTCCGCCTCCTACAGCCAGTACAACGCTCTAAGGTACGTAACAAAGAGGCTTGCACATTCAAATGTGATGTTGCCAACGTGCCGTGCATTGAGATCTGTGCTTCGTGCGTACTTGCAGGTACTTCGTGGCAGCCGGCGCGATCTCGGCCGTCTGCTCGGCGGCGGCGCTGTACCTGTTCGCCGTGCGCGCCGACGCCGCGGTCGCCTCGCTGCCACTAGTGCCCGCCCTCGACGCCGCCGCGCAGGGCTTCCTCTTCTCGGCCGCCGGCGCGGCCTTCGCGACCCGTGACGTGGTTGGCGGCACCGGCACGGCGGCTGGTTCGTGGGGAAGCAACGCGGGAGGAGGCAGCGTGTGCGACTCCGCTGGCGCGTTCTGCGGCAGGGTGATCGTCGCGGCGGCCGCCTGTGCGTTCGCGGCCGTCTCCGCCGCCGTCGCGGCACTGGCCAGGGACGCGAGCGACGGCACCTCGGGAGGGCGGCGTTGTGACTGGTGATAAGCATGCTCGAATCTCGATCGGTCACTGCATGCGTACCATCGTCCTTTTCACCTGGGAACGGTGAGGGTTGTAGTTGTAGTACTACGGTACTACCTCGTATATAAGTCTTCGGTGATTTTAATCCTTCATCAGTTCAACGGATTCAGTTCTTTTAATTTTTATATCGAACTAAGGTACGAGAACTATGCATCTCATGTTTCATCATCGTGCATGGATAATATATTATCTATACCTATTAATAAATTGGCAAAATTTCATCCTTTTTTTGTCTATCTTTTTTTTTCCGTCTCCCTCTAACTACTAGACAAGGAGAGTTGTTTCCGCCTGGACTTATATATATAACCCGCGCTCATACTACCGGACAATGAAGAGTTGTTTACGTCTGGACTTAAATATATAACCGGTGCTCATATGACTTAGAATATCTCTTGTCTAGCGTAATATGGAGTCCGATTCCAAAATGTATTGGGTTATGTATATGACTCATAATATAAATCCAAATAGATCTCTACGATTCTAAATAATATGATTAGAATAGAATCCTAATTCTAATCTAAATATAAAAGTAGCCAAAATTTCTGCCGGTAAATTTTTCGTCCACCTATCCTAATCACCGACTACCTCCTCGGTCACCCACTCGGAAGTAGCCAACGTGTTTTACTCCTATGGCACGGACACTACTACACAAATGATTTTACGCGACACCCCCCCGGAGGTCACCGAGGCGGGCACCTATTTTTGCCCGTCACCGTAAATGCCATGGTTTACCTAGGCGGGCATTTTTTATTTACCACGGCGGGCATTTTTGCCCACCACGGTAAATCGATTTACCGTGGCGTACGTCTTAATGTCCGCCACGGAAAATCAATTTTTCAAACATCTTAAGATGCCACCCCGCCATCCCTCGCGGACATCTTAAGACGTCCGCCACCTCCCCAAACTCTCTCACCCCATCCCTCTCTCCATCGTCACCGCCTCCCCCCACTCTCTCTCCTCTCCCGCCTCCCCACTCTCTCTCTCTCTCTCCGCCTCCCCCTCTCTCCTCTGCCTCCCTCTACTCTCCTCGATGCGGCAATGGCCTCCTCCAAGCCGCCGAGGGCCTCCAGACGGCGGATCGATGGCGCCAGGGCGACAGCCTGCAGGACGACGGCGCACGGCAGCGCGCCCTCCTCCTCCCCCACGGATCCTCCATGAACGACGCGCGGGGCTAGGCTTTCAAATCTAGTGAGTTCATCTCCCTCTTCCTCTCCATCTCCCTCTTCCTCTCTCCATCTCCCTCACTCCTCCCTCTTCCTCTCTCCGATCCGCGGCGACGACGACCTCTTCCTCCACGGATCCAGCGGGCGGCGACCTCCTCCCCACGGATCGGGCGGCTGCACCTCCTCCTCCGTGGATCTGGCGCGGTGGAGCGACCGGATCCAGCGGTGGATCTCCACCACGGCCACGACACCGGGATCCACCACGGCCACGACGCTGGGACCTCCACCACGGCGGGCGAGGACGCGTCGGCGCGGCGGCCTCCCTCCACCACGGCGCGGTGGGATCCGCGAGGAGGCACGGGGATCCGCAAGGAGGCGTCGGCGTGGTCCCCTGCGGCGATCGGCCGAGGTGGTGGCGGCCCTCTGATGGCGTCGGCGTGTCCAAACCGACTTCTCCGAGATGCTTTGAGGGCCCGCCGCTGCTCCTCTTCTCCCTCCCCGAGCGGCACGGATCTGCGGCCGTGGGAAGCCCAGATCCGTCGCCGGTGGGCTCGCCAGTGGGCTCACCGGCGGGCTCCTGGTTTTTTCTTGTTTTTTTAAATGATTAACCGCAGCGGACATCCTAACGTGCCCGCCGTGGTAAAAGTATATTTACCGCGGCGGGCACGTTACACCGACTGCCATGGTAAATCGATTAACCGCGGCGGGCAAGGCCGCTCACCGCGGTTAAGCCACGATTTACCGTGGCCTCTAGGCCACGGCGGACGGCTTTGCCCGCCGCGGAAAACCGAAAACGCCCGCCTCCAATAAAGTTTGTGTATTAGTGGGAACCGCCCGGAATTTCTGGTGCAAAACGTCCATATCCTTTCCGGTTTTCTCTTTTGTTTTTTTCACCGTTTGCCCTTCCCGTGTTCGCTTCCTTGACTTGTTTTCTTTTTTTCTTCTTTTACTATATGTCATAAATATAATATTTTGGACCTTTAAAACTCTAAATTATTGATGTAATTTTAATGAGAAATAAAACTGTAGATCAGAACCTTGATCAATCTAGGATCCAACTAATCAAACTGTAGATTGAAATTTTAGTTATCCAATCTAAATGAAATAAATGTATGTTCATGTTGTACGCGTATATGAGTGAAATACTCGATGAGGGCTGCCATGTAAAAATTGAGTGTGGTCTTTGTCGTAATCATCAAGTATGTTCCCCAACTCTATGACATCTTACTCATCAAAAATAAAGCTGTGATGTATTTACAAGTTAATGTTTATGTGCCTTATACAATGAAAAAAATCTATCAAGGCTACATTTAATTCCATACAAACTTAAGAAGATATTGTCAAATTACTGTCAATATTAACTTATATTATTGTTAATATTAACTTATATTATGAATGTCATGATCAACATAAAATAAATTATAATAACTTTTAAAGAAAATAATTATGCATCATTCGGATTCTCATTTGATATTAATGTTTGATAGTTTTTTTTTTTCATTGCAAGACACCAAGACACGGGCATATATGCCAGTATTAATATTAAAAAGGGAAGCGATTTTTGCGTCCATCTTTGTTATTTTTCACAATGCCTTTGCGCCTCTCATTGTCTCCTCTGGAATCTAAACTCACCACATGTGCTCATATAGGTTAGAACCACCAACATTTATGCGTCCAACAATGGTACTGATTTCAATTTCAATACATATTGGGACGCAATTGTTACACAAATCTCCGATCAACAATTCTTGAGATGACCCAACAACAAGGCGTATGACCCGTTGCAACGCACGGACATGTTTGCTAGTGATATAATAAAAAGAGATGCAGGATTTTTTTCTATTTTTGCTTCATTTCATTTCCCAGGAGATCTCTCATGTCACTTCATTTTTTATCCGAATCGCAACAAAAGAAAACGTGCAACTAAAATTTTTCATAGGCATGGGTCACCAAATCCATAATCACAGTGAAAATTTTTGTACTATTGTAATCTTTTCAGTGCACCGTGCACATGTTTAAGCTTAACACTGTATTAAAAAGGCAGCCTGATGCCTTATTCTTTTTTTAGAATTACGCAGTACAATATAGACGCCCACGATATGCACGCACACTCACCCATATGAATACACGCGCACAAATCCTATCCTTTTGAGCAGCTCCGAAGGACTGAGCTGGCGGGGTGGTCGCCTACCACTTAAAGTATAGGACCGTTAAATCCTGGAATAAATTTAGAAAAATGCGAGTACTCGTGTCAAGTCGAGGACTTGAACTCGAGTGTGCAAGTTCCACCACATGGAAGCCATATTAACTGATCTATGATCAGTTCACCTGATGCTTTATTCTTGTATACAAATTTAGTTTTGGAGCTCAGCTTTCATATGCAGCTTAAACCATAGAGTTTTCCAACTCACAAAAAAGTATTGGGAGGAAAAAATAAGACCGCCTCCAATAGTTTCATATAATTCACTCATAAAATTGGGACAGTGATAAACCCGTGGAAGTCGCGCGGATATATCGGCGCGTTCGGTGATTTTTTCCGAAGTGGCAAAATATTAAGAGGTGGTATTGGAAACTCTTGGAGATTGATTTTTTCTATTCTTGACAAAAATTCTAGATGCATGATTTATTGGGAACTCTTAGAGATGGGTTGAAACAGGAAGGGATCAGAGCCGTTAATTTTATTTTACTGCGACTACCACATACACCAGAGTAGCAGACCAAGAAAAATATTCCTAGCATACTAAGCCCTTTTCTAAAATGGAGGTCCTATATAATCGAAGGCTAATTGGGTGGCCCGTCCTTGCCTGACAAGGCCCATTAAGGCAAGGCCCGAGTAGAATTAGGTCGGGCCCTATTGCTCAGGTTGCCGAGCCTATCCATGGGCTATGCTTCCGGTCTATGCATGGCCCTACAAGGTATTGGTCGTATTTTTACATTTTTTTATTTGAAGGAAAGGTATTGGTCGTTGTGGCCTGTGGGTTGATCTAGGCTGGTTTGGGGTTCCAACCGTTTGGAACCAAACCATGAATGAACAGGCCTATTTGTGGGCCACCATTGGCGCCACGTCCGGTTTCTGCTTCGCATCAGCCTTCTTAGGTAAGATTACTGGTGACAGAGGATTGGCTTGGCAACCAGAAGTATTATGTAGTAGTTACGTGGAGAGATGATTTAAATATTAAAGTGTGTAAATGAAAGGAAGTAAACAAAATACAAGAGATCACATATAGGGATGAAAAAGGCAGGGTATCGGATCCTGATATCACCTTTTACTACATTTTAATTTGAAATACAAATATGGATTTGGATATTTTTGAATAGAAATACAAAACAGATGTCTCGGATTTGAATAGGAATACAAAACAGCTCCACTCAACCAAAAGTTACCCAAACAGTCTAACTCTATGAAATCTAGATTCACCAAAATGGTGGATCGGGAGGCTAGATTCAACGTTTTGGTGGAGCTTCTCAAGGGGTGCTCCACCAAACTCAAATTGGCGGAGTTAGGAAAAGTTACATGTCACTGCCACTAGTTACACACCTCCCTCCCATACCAGTTGGTTTTCTATTCTATTCTTCTCCTTCTCGTGAACAATAGACTCCATCACCCGCCTCCTTCCTCCCGCCGCGACCAACAGGGAGGCAACTGCTCAACAGCGAGCTCCCCAACTCCAGAACTTGTCCCCCTTTTTCTCCCCAGCCCCTTTATGCCCCCTGGATGCTGGCACGGCTGGTTTGGCTGGGGCACGGCCCCTTGAACGCCAGCGCAACTCGCCTAGTCAAGGCATGGCACCCCTGGCA